GAAGGGGACCGGTGGGGACCGGTGGGGACCCTTTCAGTCCCTGAGCCTGGCACAAAGTGTTGGTCCAACGTCAGACTGAACGGGGTGCTAGCATGAGCTGTGACAGATACACACCGTGTGGCTCAATGGTTCAACTTTTCGCGTTCTAATATTTTTCACCTAACCGAAGTATTTATTTTCCAAAAACTACCGTTACTTTGCATTTTCGCGACATAATTTCCCCTTAACTCTTTGGCTAGCGCCGTGTATTCACATGTGAGATAAAGGCTATTTTCAGGTTATCCACGATTCACACCAACCTCTACACCGGCTCTGACTAGCTTTCTCGGTTAGCCTTGCTAGGTCGGGCTAATTTTACGTTACTATACACATTGCAGGACGGAACTTAAGCTTTGAGTAAATTCATCGGTTCAACATTGAACCTGTCCCAATAAAACCTGTCTGGATCTTACAGTATGAAGCTAATTCACATTTTCGGCCTACATGGCGCTGACACCGAAACATGGCTTACACCAACTAGCCAGCGAAAATGCTATCGTTCTTTAATTGTAAACCTTCTACACAAAATTCAAACTAATCGCGTATAAATGTTGTCCTCACCGATATATCACACATAAACAACATTTCAAGCTCTGGTCGGACGTAAAAAACAGCAGATGAATGTGGATTTTGCAAGGTGGCTTTCATACCTCTCTTAGACATGGCTGCAGTAGGGAAAGAGGAAGGCGGAAAAAGGAAGTCTCGGATATAAAGTTGAACAGAACTTCATCCGGGTCCTGGCGCGGAGCAAAGATGCATTCACGAACAGTCAGAACACGGAGAAACTGTATTTTTGCATTGTCTTTAGGCAGATTTTATGGTAAAAATATTTCGATATTCATCACTTACAAGTCTTTTTAAAAAAAAAAAAAAAAAATGTTTTTAATGAAAGCAGACACCGTGTATTAATTAAAACAATACAATTGTTAAAAAGATCGAAATTAGCTCTTTTTAATTATTTAACAATATCGCCGTATATAACATATATAACATCTCTATGGTATCTTGAAATGGAGATGGTTTTGGTTACTTGCCTAATTTTTGAGATGACTGCCTCCTACAGTACAATCGAGGTAAATGGAATTTAATTTGAAATAATGTGCGAAATTCAAATCGAGATGAAGAAGATAATTTCTTGCTGCTGAGCATGACTGCTCCGTGAATGGATCAGAGGTGAGCAGTTTGGCAGATATGTATTATGATGAAGAGTATGAGAAAAGTATGGGTTGGATGAATGAAAATCAAGGCAAAGGGTATTAAAGAGTAAGAAAAATCATGAAGAGAGATCAAAAGTATGAAAGAAGGGCAGGAGCAAGTTCAGAGGGAAGGACCTGAGAAATGTGCTGGTATTACCAGGTTAAATGAAATGGCTCAATGAAACAGGAAAGAACAACAGCTCTGGCAAGTATGATCGTGGAAATACAATAGCAAAATTTTCTTAATGATGGCAATCTGTTGGTGAGGTGTGCAAATGAGGAACAAGTTGAGAAAGCACCCAGATGAAGAGAAATATGAAAAAATAAGGTGAAAAGCACAGGAGGGGTGGTGAATGTAAAGGAGTGGTCACTGGGGTGCCAACGGTGCCAATGAGTGTAGGTATAGAGCACCCAAAGAGGAATGTCAAAAGAGGAAATATTAGGAATGCTCAAAGACAGAAAACAACAAAAGAAGGAGTGAAGAAGGATAGTGTAGGGTTTGAAGGAGAGAATGTACCAAAGATGGTATTCATGGGTTTCTTGAATTACCCAGTGAGAGTTTATGTTCCAACGCCATTGAGCTGCTTCAATTGTCAATTGTTTGTACTCTAAAAACTAAAAACTGTTATGAGCAGAAGAGATGTGCTAGATGTGGGGGATCCAAAAAGTAAGAGTGGAAAGAAGGATCACATATGTAGAAGAGTGTAAAGGGGACAGAACAATGCTAATAAGAACAAGCAGCAATGGAGGTACAAGCACTGAAACAAAGTCAGAAAACAAATGAAAGGGGTTATGTGGATAAAAGGGCCTTAGTAAGATTCACTGCAGGAGTGATCGACAGTACGGCTGAAGTAAAGTTGTCTAAGCGGCAGTGAATCATTTAGTAGTGCGACTGACATGGGAAGAAGTGAAGAAGAACCTTTCCAACAAGTAAAGCTGGGATACACCACAGGTTGATTCCTTCTCATTATGGTAACGGTCCAGTCTCATGCTCGCTGGGAGAAAGGAAGTGAAATCAGGTGGTGGAGTCTCAAAGTGTGTATTTGGAAAAGCTGACTGGGATAAGTTCCAGAAGTTAAGTGATTTTACCCAGGAGTAAAAATAGGATGAACAGAAAACTTTAGCGTGGTGGAAAAAGAGTGTCATCAGGCTATAAGAAACAAACACAGAGCATTCAGAAAAGGCACAGGCAGTGGTAGAGTATGTCGCGCTAAACAATTTTTGCAACAAAATAGAAAGAAGCACCTGTGGGAAAGGTATGGGGAATGACAGGATGGGAGGAGACAGAAGGGAGTGGGACTCTCCAGTTATGACATCTGAAGAGGAAACAGAAGTCTCCAGTAGGGATAAGGCAGCAATCATGGCCAAGTCATTTGCGAAGGTACATAGTTCTGAAAATCTATCAGAAGAAGGGCAAAAGAGAAGTACAATGAGTCAGCATCTGGGTGTGTTGCACAGGAGGGAGCAAACAGATTATTTGGCAGAGATGCTAAGAGCAATAAAAAAGTCTTGAAGACACTGCAGCTTTATAAGAGTGTGGGAGGAGGGAAGATTACCAAATGCATGGAAATAAGCAGTCGTGATTCCGATAAGGAAACCTGGCAAGGATGCATCTAAACCTACTAGTTGTTTTTTTCCGCTGGTAGAGTTGGCAGTTCAGCAGCACTCTGTGACTATGAGGACTGTCAGGAGATGGATAGAAGAAGATATACTTTATTGATCCCCTAGGGGAAATTGTTCTTTTCACTCTTTTTATACACACACAGGCTGAAATGCACACTCCATGCAGTTGTGGACATGCAAAGAGGAGAGAGATGGAGTGATGGGGCTGCAAGGTTAATAGCACCCCATGAGCAGGTTTTGGGGTTAGGTTGTCTTGCTCAATGGCACCTCGGCAGAGCACAGGAGATGAAACTGGCACCTCTCCAGCTACCAGTCCACACTCCCTTTTTTGTGGGACTTGAACCGGCGACCCGCCAAGTCCCTACTCATTGAGCTACTGCCATGAGGCTGATGAGGCTTTGCAGGACTGTGAGTAACTTTGGGAGGATATTGAGGGTCTTTCACATTGCATCTCAGATTACATTAACTTCTGTGTGGAGAATACTGTACCTACTAGGGGGGGTTTGGTGTTTTCCCAGCAATAAGGCTTGGATTACAAGTGACCCAAAGGCCCTTCTCTGGTGACAAAGAAGAACTGAAGCTGGTGCAGAGGAAGCTCAAGGAGTCCCCCCCTTCCTCTTCAACATCTATACCTCTGACTTCAGGCACAGCACAGACACCTGCCATCTGCATAAGTATGCAGATGATTCCGCTTATGTTGGCTGTGTTAGTGGAGGACAGGACACAGACTACAGAGGCCCTGTGGACAGTTTTGTTAAGTGGTGTGCGCAGAACCATCTGCTACTCAACATCAGCAAAACAAAAGAGATGGTGGTGGATTTTAGGAGGACTGGGCCCCCCATCTTCTATTTACATCCAAGGAGAGGACGTGGAGGTGGTCCAGAGCTACAAGTACCTAGGGGTGCACTTGGACAATAAACTGGACTGGACTGGTGAGATGTCCTGTACAAGAGGGGCCAGAGCCATCAGGTCTTTTGGAATGTGCAGGACTCTGTTAAACATGTTCATGTGGTGGTCAGTGCAGTGCTGTTTGCAGTGGTATGCTGGGGGAGCAGCATCAAAGAGGGTGATGCCAAGAGGCTGGATAAGCTTATTAGGAAAACTGTCACCCTGGACACTGCGGAAGAGGTGGTCAGTTGGAGGTTTGTGTGTTTATATCTTTATAACGCTGTGCTATAAAAGTGCTATATAAATAAAGCTTTACTTACATACTTTTCATAATATGATCAATGATGTCTTCAGAGAGGTACAAGTGGATATTGGAAGGTCACTGTCTGCCGATGACGGGATCCTGTGGAAAAGAGAAAGGCAGAGCTAATCAGCTCTATGCCAAAAAATGAACCCTCTGAATAGCCACAACTTCCACTGAGACATGCAGGCAGCACCTATGAATAGGCAACATCAAGTGTAAACTATTTAGAATTTTACCTGTTGTCAGTTTCTCCAATTTTCTCTATAAAGATTGTTATAAAGCTAATTGGTTGCTTGTTTCTGTGAAATGTGAAATTTGTCTACAGGAAAACATCTAATTCAACATAGGTAAATCACTTTTCCCGCACTGTTTTTCTTGCCAGTTTCCTGGTTAGACAGTAATTTGCAGGCCAACATGCTCAGCCATACTAGTGTATGTGTGTTCATTGTTTTCATTCTGTATTTCCGTCAAAGTTCAGGTCCAGCTGTTTAAAAACATTTTTTTTATCAGTGCCTGTTTTGAATATGTTGTCTGTCCATCCAGCATTTTTCCAAGTGGTGGCTCTGTTTTTTGGTATAGAGCTGATTAGATCCATCCCCAGTGACTGCATTAATTCTTATAAGTAACCAGTATCCGGTTCAATTTGGTAACAAACTAAATTTCATGAAAATCAGTTCAGAATTAAATGGGTTACAGTCAAGTAGTAAAGTCTTCCAAATATGGCGAACGCGCATCAAATCTGGACAGCTCTTCAAAATGACTTATATGGTTGACTAATTATTCAAATGGTCTCCTTGGAGAGCCGCAGTGTTTTGACTAAACAAAAATGTACTTACGTGTGATTCCTGTGATACTCATGAAGAGGTCAGTCAGAGAGAAGGGTCTTTTTTTTCTCATGGATCATAAGCAAATAAGGTATATATACATATTTTGTGAAAGGACAGCACTGATCAGATGTCACTTGTACAGAAAATACACCGACACTTCTTTTCCACCAGGTCAGCGCTGTAGTCAGTGAAGACTACACAACATAACCAGGGTAAGGCTTCAGTTATAACATATAATATGTGATAATTGTTCCTAATTAATAATATCTATTTTAATATATTATCTGAACTAAAAATAGTCATGTTGTTGTTTAGGTAGCAAATAAGGGTAGTTGCATGGTTTTGACGGATTTGTGTGGCTATGATCAAGAAATTAATCAACTGCATATGAATAAACTCAGCTCAGGTTCAACCAGAGGACTTTAAAAAGATTATTCACAGCACTATATCCTGTTATTTTGATAGTTGACTCATAATGACCTTGACTTTTGTAGAATATACAGGCTCACCAGTAACTCATACATTACCAAAAACACACTAGACACCGTAAACAGAAACTTACATAACACAAAGAGACAATGACTATAAAGGTACCTGAGCTGCTATTTCAGTGACTGAGATTTATGGCAGCAAGACTTACTGTCCAACAACTCATTGATCTGGTCTTCCAAGATAAGAGAAGTTTGCAATTAGCATTTTTTCTTGTTTGGTTTGGTTTGGTTAAATGTTAGTTCATGTTGTAGTTATGAGGATTGTTTTTAATGATAAAGCAGTGAGGACAGCATTTGATGGTTGTAATGGTTCTAAATAATTTTGGTATAGACGCTTATTTTCTTCACTCTCATGTCTGGATGCAAACCCAGCTGTCCAAAAACAATGTATACAAAATATTTAAATAACAGGATTATGTTAGACATCATTCAAAAGTGAAAAAGAGATGCCCTGCTTTCATCAGTTATCACCTCATTATGTGCTAGGTGCAAGTGAGCTGTGGAGTCACACATCATGGAAGGGAACACATTTCTCTTCACAGTCGTATCAGGTATGTAGTTTAGTTTTGTAATTTTAAACAAATAAAGAAATTAAAATGAGTTTTCCACTGACATATTCTGGATATTTTAAGGAATAGCTGTTTTGATTGTGGAGAGCAATGCATGTCACATGTGTATGTAGTGCAGCTCGAAATCACTGCCTGAACTGTACAAACTGACTAAATGCATCCAAATGTGCATATGTCTATCATTGCCACAGGATTGTGTTTCCTACCTGGGGGTTTTCCTCATCACTACATCCTGGTTGAAAAGGAAAAAACCTGGACTGAAGCTCAGAGCTACTGCAGGGAGAAGTACACCGACCTGGCCTCATTACATAATGACCAAGACTTGGCCCAGCTCATTGAACTTACAAGTAGTTATCATCAAGTCTGGATAGGACTGTCACTGCACAATGGCAACAGCTGGAGGTGGTCACTGAAAATGGAGGGTTACTATGGTGAAGGAGAAGCAGAGTTCAGAAACTGGAAGAGTGGTGAACCCAATAACATTGGGGGATATGAGAACTGTGTTGCAATGGATAATGGAGGGACATGGGCCGATGATATTTGCAATCAAACAAAGCCATTTGTCTGCTACAGAGGTAAGAAAAAAAATGTAGTTGAAATGTAGTTGAACTTATAATGATAATAAGAAATTTACCCGCATCAGGGTTTGAACCTTAACTATAGTAATTAAAAGAAACTGTATGAATATTGTAAGGAAAAGTAAGTGATGAATAATTGTAGTGATTATAAGAGTTTTCTTTTTGTAATTTGAGGGTACCTTGAGGTAAGGTTGTAAACATAGATGCATATGTTTTGGATGGTTAGGAGCTGAGGATTTGTGGCTGTTTAATGAACTGTGCGTGAGACATGTTACCTCCTGCAGGTCCATCCATTCTCTTTTAAATTCTATACAATTGCAGTAGTTTTCCATGCTGTATATGATGAGTGTAAAATATGTTTTATGTACTTTATAGGTGGTCAGATCAGATTAGCTGGGTCTGGGTCTACTAGGTGTTCTGGAAGAGTTGAAATCTATTACAATAATACCTGGGGAACAGTCTGTGATGACAGCTGGGACTTAAATGATGCTAAGGTGGTGTGCAGACAGTTGGGCTGTGGTCCGGTTCTGAGTGCCCCTCAGTCAGCACACTTTGGTCGAGGAACCGGACCAATCTGGCTTGATAATTTGGGCTGTTCAGGAAGTGAAAGGTCTTTATTTAAGTGTTCGCACCAAGGATTTGGGACACACAACTGTGGACACAGTGAGGACGCTGGTGTGGTCTGTTCAGGTGAGAAGACAGTTTATTTTTATTTAGATTTTGCTGATTCAACTGATGCTCAAAGCTGAGGGGCCCCAACCAAAGCTGCATTACCAATTAGGCGAGTGTGGTCAACTGTCCCAGGGTCCCTGAACCTCAGGGGCCCGGAAGGCCGCAGATACTATTGTTATGACTGTTATTTCACTAAAATCTAACTTGGATCCTTTTTTATTAGTTTTGGTTCCCCTATGATCATTAATATTTCCTAAAGGTTGTGGAGTGTTGGGCACAAACGTTTTTGATTTCTGAAGAGGGGCATGCAAAAAGGTTTGAGAACCACTGGTTTAGATGTAGTTAGCAGGGTGTAGTTGGATCAACGAGAAAACCCCTGCAGATTTGAAGCTTTGCCTTAGCTAACTGAAGGTTAATATGTCTAAATTGTAACAAGCAACCTCCTCTTGCAGTGCTCTAAACATTACCGGCAAAAACCTACAGGTAATTTAGAAGCTCAACCATTTTCTTCCATATATAGTGTGTGTAAAATATGTCTTATGTGCCTCATAGATGTGCAGATCAGATTAACTGGGTCTGGGTCTACTCAGTGCTCTGGAAGAGTTGAAATGTATCACAGTGATACCTGGGGAACAGTCTGTGATGACAGCTGGGACTTAAATGATGCTAATGTGGTGTGCAGAGAGTTGGGCTGTGGTACGGCTCTGAGTGCCCCTCACTCAGCCCACTTTGGTCAAGGAACTGGACAAATCTGGCTTGATGATGTGGCCTGTTCAGGAAGTGAAGGGTCTCTAACTGAGTGTCAGCATGGAAGATTTGGGACACACAACTGTGGACACGGTGAAGACGCTGGTGTGGTCTGTTCAGGTAAGAAGCTGGTCTTAGTTGCTGACTGTCTAAGTCTAAATACACAGAGATAGTGGGAGGAATAGGGTGTCAATAGGGGGCTCACAGCTCATGTTTGCTTAGATGTAGTTTGCATGGTTGTATAGTTGGATCAACCAAACCCCTGCAGATGATCAGCTGCCTGGATAGTTTCAACCTGCTGAGTTAACATTACTGTAGTAATCATTATGTTCACAGGCACATGTTTACTTCCCCAATAGGAGATCAAAATATAGCGGCAAGTTACAATTTATGGGTTCAAGCTTTTTTCTGTCAAAAGATGGAACCAGCTCAATCCACCAAAATTAACACATTGCCTGCTGCAAATTCATGAATACTGTAAAACTTCTAATAATAGCCCGCTACTATGTATGAAGTAGCTGAAAGAGAGAAATGAGAAAAGGTGTTATAACTATGAGGGCTGAAAAGTTGAAGAAATCTCCTAATTTGTGCAATAAATTGAACATTATATGATTTGAATTGAGTTTAAATTTTATTATTTATGTAATTTATGTAAAAATGATGTATGATAAAAAATATTCAGACTTCGTCTTTGTGAATGAGTCCAAGACCTGGACTGAGGCCCAGAGCTACTGCAGGGAGCACTACACTGACCTGGCCAGTGTGAGGAACCAAACTGAGAACGAACAGATAACTGGGGGCAGAGACCTGTGGATCGGCCTCTACAGAGACTCATGGAAATGGTCGGATGGGAGCGCACATTCATTCAGTAACTGGAATACTGATACAAATCAACCAAATGGTGGTTTACTTGAACCATGTGTGACTTCGTATTCTGGCAAATGGGAGGAATGGCCTTGCAGCACTCGTTGGTTCTTTGTCTGTTACGATGGTGAGCTGAGGTCTACAATTGTTTTCATAAATTCAATATACACAAAAAAATGTATTAATTCAATATTTATTTTGTAATATAAATCTGTTTCCTCAAAAGTGCCAGTGAAGAAGCAGGTAGTGCGGGTGGTTCTGACTAATACAGGCACCTCGAGGGACCTGGAAGAGATGGAGAAAGTCGTCTTACAGAAGGTAATGATGTATGAGCATAATGCAGAGAGATACAAATGGACTGCTTTAATGCTCTGTTCAAACTTTAATAACCACTAATGTGTTGGATTTCTTGACAAGCAACCACTTGTCTCTGAGAAGCAAAAGTAAAGGTATGGTGAGGCAGTGAGTGCAAGGTTGTGGTGTATGGTTGGGCGAAGTGTCAAACTTTGACACAGAAGAGCACTGTTTTTATACTGGCTCCTACCAACAGTTGTTGGTGTCTTTTCCTAACATTAAGCATTCATTTTTTTTCCAGTCTTCCAAATAAAAATAAACATGAATTTCTTTCCAAAAGGATGCATATGACAGGGGAAGTACCCAACCCAGGACCCTTACTTACCATAAATATAATTTCATTGCTTTTCATTTTATTTAGATTTATTTTTATTCTGATTTAAAACCCCCCTACTATATCTTATAAGGCTTCAGATCTATATAATGCAGGAGGCTATGCATCTACTGTTCTGGTGGGATTGCGGTGTTGTCTGCCTGGTATGGTGGCTGGTAGATCCTATCCCTTGAAGGGGCCCCCTGACGTTTGCTTTGCTTTGCTGTTTTGTGTACTAGCCTTTAAAGGTCCAGTGTGTAACATTTAGGAAGATCTATTGGTGGAAATGGAATATAATATATATAGGTATGTAATCATTAGTCTATAAACACTTGAATATAGGAATTGTTGTGTTTTTCTTACCTTAGAATGAGCTATTCTGTCTACAGAGGGAGTGGGTCACCTTCAATGGAGTAACAATCCCGCTCCTATTGTGCCAGTATGCATCAATTAGTTAATCAAGTGTTAGATTGTTGACTAGTGTCCAAAAGTAAGTTTTTAAAGAGGTAGATCACTTTTTAAGGATTTTATATATATATATGTGGAAATTAAACTCTTTTTTTGTAAACATAAACATATCAGACTAACATTATTGTTCCAAACAGGCTATTTGTATATGTCTTAATACATTCCTGGAGGGGATGTTTAAGTACTCAGGTACATTGTTATTGGTACCTTATTCTACTTTACTATGTTTAAGAGTGTTATATTGTATTAATGTTATTAACTGGTAAGATATAGTTACAAGTTACTTTGTAAATTTAGCAAAAATGTAAATATGGTGCTTACCTCAGAAATAATTAACATAAAAATATACCATATCTAAAAACAATAGGTTCACACTTATTTTGCTGATAATGTTTCTGTACATTTCCTTCAGTCACTGGGGTAGTGCTTCCTTTACTGCATAAATACACCTTTCACCTCTGACAGTAACACAGACTGGCACAAGAAACAGGATGACTATAGCCTCAATATGCAAAGAGAAATGAATGAAGGGGAAACTGCTCCAATCAAAACCAATGAGGCCATCTGGTGGACAGATAGACTGACACACTGGATCTGAGGTATTGAGGTAATGTAGGGGGTAGAAACAAAGTGGAAAAAGTAGAAAGGAGACAGGCGCAGTAACAGAGGCAGACACAGAGACAAGGGTGAGATCCATTCCAATCTACACTAGATAGTCATGGGGCCCGAGCCTGCAGTCCTTCTGGGGCTTTGTACTATCTCAAATTAACAAACAAAAAAGACAAGTGAGGACACATTAAGCAATAACCTCCTGGAAATATGTTACAGCACATGCACGTTGGATTATAGACCTAAATATACACTATAGCCTGCTAACAGAGCAGAGTCTTATACTGCACAGGCACAGAGCCAAGATTCACATTAAAAGTAATAAGGAGCTATTACTGAGTGTGAATTAAGAGTTATAATAAAACTAGAGCTGAAAAACCTTTTTGAGGCATTTTCCCTTTGTTGTAACACATACTATATGTCAGTGTCACCTAGTCAAACTGACAGTGAGGTTCAAATTCAAATGAGCACAAAAGGCAACAGACCCACATCCTGATAAAAGTAAACTTCATTAAACACATTGAGACAATAAATATTTCTGCTTCTCAGATTAATCAGAGACTGAAGGACCATGGCGTGAGTGAAGACGTCAAGCTGAGATGGATGAGGCAGGCTGATGGAAAGATATTCCACAAGGTCGAAGAAGAGGAAGAGGAGGAGGGCTGCACCACCAACTCATGAGTTTATTTTCCATAATTGCCTACAATAGCTTTTCATATGAAAATGATTTAGTTTCAGTAGAGCTGTTGTTTTTGTTTGTTATCTAGACTATGTTCAGCCTACATTTTTGACATTATACTACATTTAATTTCTGAACTAAATTGATGGTGTTTTTAATGCAGTTTTGTTTCCAGGGTTTGCTGTTATTTAATACATCTGTTTTCAGCTAGAGATGTTTTTCTTCATAGAATGAATGTGAGGTTGTTGTATCCATTTGTTGTTGGAAGAGTATGAGGCATGACTTGTTAAAAGAAATTACATTATTAAAATTAATATTTTGCCACATTTTCTGTTTCTATTTCCGAACCTGTTATACCTACATGTTTTATTGTTTGGGAGGAGATGCTGAGAAAAATTATATGGGACGGAAAGAAGCGTAGAGTCGCACTCAAAATTCTACAAAAAAAGAAAGGGGAAAGGAAGGGGGCTTGCATTAGGCTACAACAATTAATTAATTATTATTATGCAGCACAGGTAAAAACAATTTTAATATGAATAAATCATGAGAAATGTCCCAAATAGAAGCTCATTGAGTTCAATTTAGTGTAAGCACTCAGCACTTTGCTTTTCTCCAGCTAAAAGAATGACAGATCTAAACACACAATTCTATAGATAACACATTTAAAATCTGGTGAGGAACATATAACACAGCCAAAGTCAGGGAACAACAAACTATCTGTTTAAAAGAAACATTAAGGGACCCAGATTTTACTCCAAACTGTACTGATAATATTTTCAAGACATGGGAAACTAAGGGCCTTTTTTCGGACTGCATGTTGCAATGTTTTTAGGATTTGTTTTGCAAATTACATTTTTGAATAATTCATTAAAAATCGAAAGCAACAACTAGTAGTTTGGTAAAATATGGCTCAACGTTTTGAGCAGGGGACTGATATGATTGGTAAAACTTGCCAGAAACTATAATGATTGGTCAAATTTGCAGAAACGTTGCAGTGACTGGACAAAAACGTAAGATTGTGCAGAATATACAGGGATTGGTTAAATAAAATAAAATAAATCACTTCTATAACTATTTGAGAGAAAAAATGCTAATTGAAGACCTCCCCCTCTTCTTTGATACATGGTAAAGCCATAACCAGAAAAACACAACTGGTACCAAATACTTCTGGACAATAAAATGGAAAACTTATTCTATGTTAAAGATAAATGGGAGAAGGAACTGAAAACAACTATATCTGGTAATGAGTGGATTCAGAGTTATTTTCTTCTATATAAGAGCACCCTATTGGCAGGAATATGCTAGGAAGATGAATATAAGATACTTTGCAACACCATCCAAGTATACACAAAACAATTCCAGTTGCTGGAGGGAATGTGGGGAAAATAATGCTGACCATACACACATTTTCTTTACATGTAAAAAATACAAACCCATTGGTTAGATACTTTACACACAGTAGAACAGATTTTGTGAGTGTTGAACTTAGAGAAACAATATACTTTTGGGAACACCCCAAAGCCTACAAAAAAAAGAATTATTTTCTTTGGATTCTGAGAATTACAGCGCTGAAGCAAATAACAAGGGATTGGGAAAAAACTGAACCTCCCAAGAAAGTGTCTGGAAACACAGAATAGGTAATATGGAAAAAGTAAAGATGCTCAAAACATGATGGGGTCTATTTAAATTAAGTTAAGGTAATTGGCTTGCTATACAATGTAAAATTCATGAAAAATTAGATGGATCATGCTTTGTTTTTATTTTTTTAAATTCTATTCCATTCATTTCCACCATGTTTTCTTATGGTACTATATACCTTATTGATTACATATGCACTGTATTCTCTGTATTGGTGAAAGTAAAAGTAAAAAGGTCAAAAATTGTATCAAGATGTTTAAATATCAGGGAATGTGAATGATCTGTATTGACACACAAAAACGTATACATCTAATGAAGTTATGACCAAAACATAGTGTAGATCAAATATGTAAAGAGACTTCTGTTGGTATTGGGAAGGTCAGTTCAGTCGGGTCTATCATTTGTGCTGCTATCGCACCCTCTTTGTGGTTTGTTTGTCTGGCAGCACATGCATTTTAGTGCAGGTAAGTCCATCGGTGTACAACTGAGGCCAGCCACTGAACCTGCTGTTCATCTTATCTACATCGGTGAATCAATTTATTTCAACCAAAGCAGAGTTGGCGATTGTTGGAACAGTGGAAAGACTAACAAAGAGTTTCTGTCCACTTTGAATGAAGTTATGATTATGATGACATTCAACATCATATGGCGAGCGTTAGTGATATTACTGCTGTTTCTGGTTAAACAAAAGATCTTATATCTGTCAGACATTAACAACCTGAGCCTGTCAGGGCAAAAAAACAAGGACTTTTAGTGGACGTACATTGACGGGCGCATTTGTCCCATAGAATTTGGTTGTTAGTTATAGGGCTGCACAATTAATTGAAACATTATCGAAATCGCAATATGTGAATCGCAGAATCAATATGCAAATTCCAAGAGCTGCAATGTGTTAATAAAACAAAAATGTGTTTCAAAACTACATTTTAATGAAGTTCTGTAGAGCTGCAGAGATTCCCTGGCCTACAAAGGTTGCTCTCCAGATTTGAGAAAACATTTTGTTTTGTACAGACCCCAAAAGGAATTTTGTTCTCCACTAGGAACTCTGACTGACTTCATCTGTGGATTATTAGCTGAGCCCATTGTAGCAGATAGTAATAATAATTCACATATTGCTATGCTACTGCTAGGTAGCTAGGACAAGGTATTACTGTGCATTTAAAATGAACAAAAAATAAATAGATGTGCAAAGGCTTACTGACCCAACCTTTAAACTTTTTACACAGTGAACAATCAGAAATACAGATTTTATGTAATAAAGCAGATTTTGTCAGGAAGAAAACTCCCAAACTGCTGTGTTACTGCACTCTGTCTTTGAGCTGTTTATGCTCATACAATTTTTTCTTATTGTTATTGTAGTTACTGCAGTTAGCCTCTGGATGGCAGTGTAGCTATAAATGTCTTATTCTAAGGCAATGAAAACACAACAATTCCAATATTCAGGTGATTTTATATGAATGTGCAACTGAATGTGTGACATATGATGGAGTAACTGTGATGTGTGTATTCAACGTGGCAGAGACAAGAGAGGCATGCATAAATAATATTAATAAGCACATTTTTAGTCTGTATGCTCACTTTCGACCTGTTGCAGAGCGAAGGGTGGATATATTCCTGTCACATTTATAAACTTTATCTCTTGTACAGTAGATTCTGTACATTATTTTATATTGTCTTAAATGTACATTTTCATTGACCGTAATATCTCTCTTTGAATTACAACATTCCCTCCATCTTACATCGGTAAGTTTTGTTCATTTTCATCATGAATCTTTTGCCCTTCTATTGTGTTTCTGGCTAAATGGCATATTGGTTAAATGCTTTAAGAGATGAAATACATTTATTTTTTATTCTATGACTCAATGACAAAATCAAAGAGAAATAAATGATTCAATAAATAAATAAAGTAATATGCCATTAAATGCACAAAATAATGTTAAAAATAAATGTAGATATTAATTGATTCATAAAAACTGACATAAATTGATATTTCTTTTGTTTCTGTATTTATTTACTTAGTTATTTTATTCATTTTTAAATTTATTTATTTATCCATTTATCTCTTTATTGTTTTCCCATTCCATTAATACCTTATTCATTTCTCCAAACATATTTCTTTATGTATTTTCTTTTTACATCGCTTTATGCATTTCTGTTTCATTATGCAATGAAGGGGGCTGTCATTCAAAGTGTGTCATGGGGTCAACTTTTCAATGATTGGTTACTGGATGATTGACACCCGAGCATGTAGATTAACTATGCCTTGCTCCCACGCTGTGCGGTGGCCACTGAGAGAGTATCTGGGTCACAATTTTTGTTGGGACCACAGGAACTTTACAAATTCATTTGTCCCCCCAGGTCACTTCCTGTGGTTGACCAGCTGCAACCAAACCTTTGGTCATCCCCCCCCCCTTTCTTTTCTCCTCTTCCTCACCTGACCCAATGGCTCTCTGGACCTCAGTGCGGTTTGCTTGGAGCAGACCTGCCGATGCAACACGCAAAGACTGCACGGAGCAACATGCATGTTAGTGCTGACTTGCTAACTGCTAACTCTGCAACGAAACAATGATCCGAGTGACCTTGTCTCCTCCTACGCCATCAGACTGCACAGCAAAGACTTTCTGACATCAGAAACACAACTTTCCCTAACCTGGCTCATGGAATATCTGGCTAACAAGCAGCACACCAACGCAACCTCTCTTCCTTACAGACTGGTAACATAGCTGGGCATGAATAGCTTCATGTAGCTTAACAGTGTCGACAGCTAAGCACACACCCAGAAACACACACACACACACACACACACACACACACACACTTCCCCTCTTGTCATACTTTAATAACTTTAATTAACTGAGTTCTGTATTAATAGTTTAGTTATGAGATTGACAACAGATCAATGAATTGCCGTTGTATTCACTTCTTTATACTGTAGGTGGTGTCACCAAAGAACTTTATTCAGTCCCTCCAGAAAAACGTGATTATGCGATCGCATAGTTCGCATTTTTTCAAATACGCAGCACTTTCGCCGCATAAATTGCCGATTTCTGCGCAAAATATGCAGGGCTTGCATGATTTCATAATTCCCACATTTTCGTTGCAAAAAAGTCACATATATCTTTGCAGAAAGTTGAAAAATGTTGCGTTTACTTCACACAAGAGCAGCCATTTTCCCTTGTTGCCGTTATGAAGTGACGTAATTACGCAAATCAGTCTCATTTGCCAACTAAAAAAATTATTAATTAAAGCTGCAAGCAGCGTTGGGCGGGACCTCGCACTCCATGCAACTCGGGGCCTGCTGCGGCCGCGTCACGTGCCGTCGTAACACGTGCGGACCACAATATGAAATGTTCACGTCACCCCGCAACAAGCCCTGATCCCAGGAGCTGAGGGAGACCACTCTTCATTGTCACACGTTTCAAGACTGGATAAACTGATCAGGCTGGCCGGCTCTGTGGTCGGCATGAAACTGGACTCACTGGTGGCGGTGGCAGACAGGAGGACACTGGACAAACTCCTGGACATTATTGACAATGCCAGCCACACCATCATCAACAACCAGAGGAGCCTGTTCAGTGGAAGACTGCTCCTTCCCAAGTGTAGGACCAACAGACTCAAGAACTCCTTTGTCCCTCATGCCATCATACTCTACAACTCCTCACTTGGGGGGAGGAGGAA